CCCCCCCCCCCCCTCTATCTAACCACACACACCCCCTGCGACGAAGTGCTTGCAACGACACTGAGTATATATCTTTTGAAAACAGGCGAGGGGTTATTGCATGCATGTATTTCTAGTTTTTAAATATAAAAGATCTTTTCGGGAGATCTAAGGTTTCACCGTTTAAAATGAACGCGGAATTATATTTTATATTTTTTTATAAAATATAATCAAAAGATATAATAACGGGAAATTGATTTGTGTTAAACATTTAAGTATGTGTTGACGGTTAAATATGCAATTACTATTTGCAATACAAGTGTCGTTATACGTAGGAAGCAGGCGAACAGTAACTTTCTCACTTTTTTCCCGATTGAGTAGGATTTACAAATTAAATCAGTCAAAAAGAAGCAGTGGCGTAGCCCGAGCGCAACAATTTAGTCCCGCTGTGCAAATTCAAAATTATTATGATTATTATTTTCTTTAGAAAATTATTGTTTTGTCAGCTAATTCATGGAAACGAAAATTTTGCATAGCGGCACTAAATCGTCGGGTTGGCTACGATACTGAAAATAAGTGACAGCTTCTGTGCTTACTTGTTGGATCTTCCTCATAACGCCAACCATGAACTTTGCCATTGTCATTGTCACACAATTCTGACAGCTTAAACTGACACGTTAATAATTTCAAAGCTAAAGAAAAAGTATTAAATATTCTTGTTTATCCATTTGTACTTTAACAATAAACATTAAACATAAATAACGAAATGTAGGCCTGGTTACGAAAAATTTCCTTAATGTACTAATGTTATCAACTGTTTTCGGAACTTTAATATAAATCATTGTAAGTTTTAGAACACTTCTGATCTCATACATGTACATAGTATATCCTAGGCAAGAACGTTGCGCGTTATTTAAATTCACTTGATGAGTGTGGCAAGACTCGTCTGGGAAACTAGCCTGAAACTAGCCGTCTACGAAACTAGCCGTCTACGAAACTAGCCTGCGAACAGGCTCTCGATATGAATTGAGAGCCTGCATCGATGACTAATGAATTTGAATATCTGCGTCTCAAATCGTGACGCGAAATTCTCATTGGTCAGATGCTATAATCTATATGTTCCAGCTGAGCTCTATATATGTCAACTGCTCAAGCACTATGCATAAAAAAACACATTAACTGATCAAATTGGCTTGGTCGTCTTAACTCAAAGCACGAAATGTTCTGTTTTGAGAAAACAGTAGTTAAAACATTTGAACTTTTGCTTGAATATCTTCGACGGTCTAAATTTAGTTTGCACGAAAGTTGTAGACAACACCATATAGGGATAGACATTCCATATTTGGAAAAACGAACGTTACGGGGCAGATATTCAAATTCATTCTTCATCGATGCAGGCTCTCAATTTAGCTTGAGAGCCTGTTCGCAGGCTAATACGAAGCAAACTCGTAGTGAAATAAAGTTCATATATGAATTAACTCAAGTTTGTTTTCTAATCTAATTACAAAATCTAAATTTTTGACTGCATGCCACAGCCTTTTTCAAAAGAATGCTGAAGAAGGTTGTGACATGCAACCGAAAATTTAGTTTAATTATTATATATTTCTTAATAAATGTACCACGCTCTGATACATTTATTATTTATTTAAGGTTACCGAACACTTTTGAGTGTTAATTTTGCCCAAAATTTTTTTATTCGTTTCCATGAAAGCATAGACTAGTTCTACTATCTGACCAAGTTTGAACGAAAAATATTGAAAACTCGCAGCAGAGTTATTTAGTAAAATACATTTCGCTGCAATAAGAAAAACATTGAAAATGTAATATTCAAATTCAATTTTGTCCCGAAAAATTTTACGATAATTACTGCTTTTCAAACGAGTTGTTCTCCTGCGGGTTTTAACCAATTTTTCTCAAATTTTCACAGGACATAGTTAAAGACATCTGTTTCAAAATTGTGCATGGTCACCTTTTTTTTAATTTTGGATATTTTAATAATAAAGAGGAATTCACTCAAACAATTCAGAAATATATTGCAGTCGTCAAAGAAATCGCCATATCAGCGGAATGACGAAATAAACAAAAATTTACGAACACAATTTTTTAGAACAACTATTTTACTGTATAAAAATGATATTTTCATAAATATAACTTAAAACCAGCAGGAGCACAACTCATAAGCGTAACGGTACCGCGATTTAAGATTTTCCTGAGTAATTCTTACATTATTTTATTGTTTGTTAATTTTACAACTTTATCATATTTTGCATACACTGGTAAACATTTGGTGAAAATTTGATTAAAATGGGACTGATATTGAGCGCGCAGTAGCGATTTTCCGCAAAACGCCAAAAAGGGTGTCCTGTAACCTTAAATGTATCATCATTAATAAATGTACCACGAGTCCGTAAGTAACGAGACATTCTTTTATTACCGGTGCTGGGAAAAGTTGCAATTTTTTGATTAACAGTTGAATGTAAGTATTCTTCCAATATGTCTTCACAGGTTTCCCTGACTGATAAACCAAACTCCGGTAGTCGACGCCCTATCTTACGCGAACTTACAGTGTAGATAATTGGACAACTGTAACTCGTCTTTCAAGCAGAATATTCAACTGTTCATAAGAGATGTTAAATTTTGGCCTTCCAGGAGAGTCTGTAAAATTCCTTTACCTCTACCACAATTTACTATGTTAAGCAACCAAATGCTTCCGAAGTGAGGTCGACTACAACGCGCTCGACAAAATTGCTTTCATGACACCTATAACCAAACTCAATTGCCATTCTAACCTATACTGAGCATTCTCAAGATGGCTCCTAACTCGATTTCTCACGACAGCTCTAACATCTTCTTCAGGGTCCTCCATTTTGTTTTCTATAAGTCTATTTCCAGTGCTGCGCGGTTAGCAATCAAAATTCGTTCACTGAATGCCATGCATAAGGTTATGTCAGCACAACGAAATACGAAATCGAATATCGAAATATGTAGTGTTAGAATGAAATGTCAGATTCAATTGAATAATGAAGTGTACCGAATTTGGCAGGCATAATGTAACACGAAATAGAATAACAAAATGTGATGCGTCATAATGAAATGCTTCTTATAATTGCATAATACGCGTTCTTTATTATGGCAGTGTAACCCCCCTCCACAACGCGACGCTATTTGTTTAGTTTCTGATACTAAATAAAACTGCCAAGGCAAGCAAATTGTAAAAGATATATGTATAGACCAAATAAGTCAAAATGTTATAACGCTTCTAAATATTTGGAAAGTTTAATCTATAGTATCAAAGTTATCGGTCAGTCAAAATCGAGATATCGCGTCGCGTTGTCGAATCGCGTCCCGTGTGTCTGGATCTTAGGCTAAGTTCGAATCGCGTCCGGCCGTGTGTCAGGAACTTTTCTACTTCGTCACTCGCGAAGTAAATTTTTTTTGTTTGCATTTGTACAGTTTGCGTGCGGTAATCACATCTCATATGGATGCTCATTTAATTTTTGCCATACACACCTTTATGACTTTTCACATATACAACATTTCCCGTCCAATTTCCATCCAGAGGTGTTGCTGTAAACTCTGGTATATACCACCCTCGAGACGGATTATATTCCATGGTATAATATATTGCCGAACTGTAGTTCCGAGCGATCTTGCTAACATAAAAATATCCATTTACACTAAACTGATTGTAAGCATCTATATTATTGCTACCTAACCAAGTATTTTCTGAACTTGAGACTAAATACACAGGTGTCGGATAGTCATCAGTTGGAATCGTATGGGCAGTAAAGAATGACATTGGATAATTCCGATCACAGTCAACACCATTTTCTGAAACAGTGTATTCTTTTCGAGATGACTTCTTCTTGGAGACGAAAAACGTCTTTTCAACTTAAAGAGAAAAACAGTTCGTTTAAAATAGAATGTTAGTTATACAGGTACAGTAGCTCTAAAATGTTCTAAACTAGTACTGTTTTGTCTGAGGTGGATAGAGGCCGTATACGAGCGAAGAGAAAAAAGGTATGAGATTAACTTTTAAGGTAATTTTGAGATTTCGAATTTTTACGTATTTCGAATTTTTACAATTTCGCGAAAAAATTTCCTTGGCACAGAAGTTGAAATGGACATTCGAGGCTTTAAAAACTTAATGTTTTGAGATCTATATAGGATGTTCTCAATATACCCCTCAATCGCACACAACCTCACCTCTCACAATGAGAAACTGCCGGCGGCATAGGTAGGTTCTCTTCAATTGACTTTATACCGTTTACGTTTTTCGTGGGTGTGTCTCTCTGCATGCATGCATGCATGCGTGTATATTTAAAGAGGCTTTGCATTTAAAGGGGGCAACATTCAGCCTAGTCATTGTTAAATTAAGCAATAGGAAACAAGTTGCTAAGCTGTAGTCAATATAATGATGCTCTTTGATCTAATATGGCCCATATTAGTCATATTTAGGAACCGTTCATTATTTATACCCTAGGGTGGGGTGGGAGGTTCTTATGTCACATACAAAAATTTTGTAGCCCTACCCTCCTTTGACGACCTCAATGTTGAAGACCCTCCTATAAAAACTGGAAAGTTTATAAGCCCCCCCCCCCCC